GACTTCATTCCACTTTCTCAGCCTATTTGGAGTAACATGTGTCCCAAGATCCAGCTTTGGTTTGTCCATAATGATGAATAACATCAACACATACTGTTGATTCGTTCAGCTTTTCCATTGGTTGCATTGTTGAATCTTATTGGCAATTGCTAGCTGGTTAATTCTACAGTTTAATTGGTAGATCACTAGCTTATAGAGTGTGGAATTCGAATCCGATGCAGAGAAATAAATAAAAACACTGAATTACCACAAAAATTATACCATGTCTGTACATTGAAAAACGGGCTGCAATAATTTACTTAACCCACATACTCGTCATGGTTAAGCACTTCTTCATTTCGTTAACTTTCTTAGCCTACTCGAATGTTAACCCACATACTCGTCATGGTTAGACAGTTCTTCATGTCGTTAACCTTCTTAGCCTATTCGAATGCTAAAAACCAATAATCAAATGAAGGAACAAATTTTCCTGGTTAGACACAAAATATCAAAGTTAAAGGACTATAATTACACCGCTGTTATTCTAAACTGTCAAATAACTTAAAATTATGGACATGAATTATTCAATCTCTAGATCATATATGACAGCTACAGAGTACCACCCGGAGACTTTATCTTTCATTTTGTACTAATTCCCAAAAAACAATACAAAAAAATTATCATTTAAGAACAATCAATATATCATGTAGTAAAGTTGGAAATACAACACATTATCAATATGTAATTAAGTACAAAAGAGGTGCTCTTAATCAGCTATCTTTTTGTCAGATTTATACACAAGTTTAGATGCCAGCGAAACAGCTCGCAAACAATTTTTATTTTCACAACCAATCTTTTCTATATCTACCTGCACAGCTGCATACGTCTGTGAACTGCTAATTTTAACCATTATAGTTCTTCTAAGCCCTACAAGTTTAAATTCACACGATTCTCAGTATAATTTTAAACTTAACCATACAAAACTAGCTGTGAGTGGCTCAAAGTTTAGACGTGGGTGTGAGTCGTGTAATCAAGAACGTTGTTACAAAAAAAAAGAAACGAAAGAACCTTAAAATATCGCCTGCTTTCACTTTACAAAAGATAGCGACTTGCTTATGAAAGCAAACAATTATCAAATGTTATAAACAATTAAAATTTATCGACACTTAGAAACACATATTGAAGATGTATTTAAGGATTTAATTATTATAAATGTTATAAACATTGAGATCAAACATGATCTTAGACGTTATACAATTAAAGCGAGAGAGGACAGGGATTGTGGGCCAGTAAAGTACATTATTGTGTCGTTGAGCTTAAAAACTTGTGTGCAAAAAAAGATATATTTTGAATAATGGTAGATTGTAATGACATTAAAATCGTGGTTAAAGTTCCAAATCACTGAACAAGAATTTTATGTTTTTGTTTTCATTTGGATGTAATACGAAGGTTGAAAGAATATTGGTGAAGGGCCAGAATTATGACTGTAAAGCTAGTTGTGACTCTTCACTAATGTAACTTTCTAAAGGCCAACAAATCTTTTGTGCCAGAATTATGACTGTGCAGCTAGTTGTGACTCTTCACTAATGTAACTTTCTAAAGACCAAGAAATATTTTGGGCCAGAATTATGACTGTAAAGCTAGTTGTGACTCTTCACTAGTGTAACTTTCTAAAGACCAACAAATCTTTTGGGCCAGAATTATGACTGTGCAGCTAGTTGTGACTCTTCAGTAGTGTAACTTTCTGAAGACCAAGAAATACTTGGGACGAGGATTATGACTGTAAAATTAGTTGTGACTCTTCAATAGTGTAACTTTCTAAAGACCAAGAAATATTTGGGGCCAGAATTATGACTGTAAAGCTAGTTGTGACTCTTCAGTAGTGTAACTTTCTAAAACCAAGAAATACTTGGGGCGAGGATTATGACTGCACAGTTAGGTATGACTCATCACTATGTAATATTTGACATCAGCTAGTCCTTCATAAAAATATCTTATACTTAAAGACCGAAATTGACCTACACTGTAAATACTAGAGATTACTTTTACATAACGAGTAGTAGCGGCATATTTACAGAGTCAGTAGTGGTGTTTACATTGATAAAGTCAGTATCAGAGTTATATTTTTAGAAACAGTAGCAGTGATTACATTTGTGGAGTCAGTAGCGAAGATCACATAATCATACACAGTAGATATGAATACATTACGGACCTAACAGCATGAACATTCTAGTCATGAAGTAGATATCATGTATATATATAATATCAAGCAGAGAGGGTGTTTTCCACTTGTTTAACCGAATCTTTGTTTGTAGACAATGAATAAGCTACACACTGAAAAATGGTGTTTTTATCTTAAACAGCTTAAAATTGATAAGATTATGTATACGTTTGTTGTGGGATTATATTGTATAAATTATGACTACTACTGATAAATAATGCTAGTGAAAACAACTTGAAATAATACGTTAGGAAATAAGAAGCATTACGATAAAATTCTATTTTCTTCAGATAGTAATTTGAATAAAGAGAGTAAAATAGTCAAAACAAAAATATATCATCCTATTTAAAGGTCTACTCAGATTGTTTTAATCCAAATTAAAAATTTGCTTAGATCGTGAAATAACCAAAGTTAAATTAATGGGAACAAAAAATAAGAACCAGGGAATTAATTTATTTTCAGTTGTGCTTTGTTACCAGACTTGTTTATAATGGTATAGATCTGCCTAGCTTTGTGTGCGAGACCAAAACCAAAACCGATTTATGATTAGTATATCAAAACCAGTTATGTTGTTTAGAAGCTCAGAAATAAGAAAGAAACATATTTCAGAAGTAATAATTTATTCATTTGTCACATAACTATCCACGTTATGAAACCTTAAATACGTGAAACAGGAAAAGTTGGTACAATCAGAACATAACAGTCCAATCTACTGAGACCTATGGGTAATGCAATTTAGAAATTATTACATAAATAACATGATTTTAAGAACTTGATGGAATTGACAGATATCTTTATGTAAGTTTCAAAACAACTTAAAATGTTTTCTTGCTAGATTTGCAAATGTTGTTTTACATACAAACACACACACACACACGTGTATCTGCTTTTGTGTCCGTAACCAAGTTATATATCAGTCTTTACACGTTTTTTGACTGTAACATCACAATGTAAGAAACTGATTTTAAAATCACCATATAGAAAATTGACTATAATATCACAATGTAAGAAACTGACTGTAACATTACCATGTAAGAAACTGACTATAACATTACCATATAAGAAACTATATGTAACATTATCATGTAAGACACTATATGTAACATTACCATGTAAGACACTATATGTAACATTACCATGTAAGAAACTGACTGTAACATTACCATGTAAGAAACTGACTATAACATTACCATGTAAGAAACTATATGTAACATTACCATGTAAGACACTATATGTAACATTATTATGTAAGAAACTATATGTAACATTACCATATAAGAAACTGACTGTAACATTACCATGTAAGAAACTATATGTAACATCACCATGTAAGAAACTGACTGTAACATTACCATGTAAGAAACTGACTATAACATTACCATGCAAGAAACTATATGTAATACCACCATGTAAGAAACTGACTGTAACATTACCATGTAAGAAACTGACTATAACATTACCATGTAAGAAACTATATGTAACATTACCATGTAAGACACTATATGTAACATTACCATGTAAGAAACTGACTGTAACATTACCATGTAAGAAACTATATGTAACATTACCATGTAAGACACTATATGTAACATTACCATGTAAGAAACTATATGTAACATCACCATGTAAGAAACTGACTGTAACACCACCATGTAAGAAACTGACTGTAACACACCATGTAAGAAACTATATGTAACCTTATCATGTAAGACACTATATGTAACATCACCATGTAAGAAATTGACTGTAACATTACCATGTAAGAAACTGACTATAACATTACCATGTAAGAAACTGACTATAACATTACCATGTAAGAAACTATATGTAACATCACCATGTAAGAAATTGACTGTAACATTACCATGTAAGAAACTGACTATAACATTAACATTTAAGAAACTATATGTAACATTACCATGTAAGAAACTGACGGTAATATCCCCATGTAAGAAACTATATGTAATATCACCATGTAACAAACTGGTTGTAACTTTCGACATAAATGTACATCTAAAAGAATACTAAACAGAACTACAACAAAACTTAGAATGGTAAATATATAATCAGGGTATTTAAAAAAATATTGAGTTTGCACAACTTAGCGACCCTTGTGATTCTTGTACAAACGTTGAGACTATAATCTGCTGACTCAGACTACAGAAGTCAAGAGAAAAAAAAAGTAATCATTTTGGATTGCTAATTATAAATATTTAAGTAGTAAAGAATATACTTGGTTATAAAAATATCACATTTCATGATCATACAAATTTTTAAAATGTCACTTTCGTTTTAAGATCTCTATAAACTAAACATTTTCTTTACACTGAGTAAATTTTTGTGGTAGCCAATAATCAATATTTTTTCATTTATTTTCTCCCAGGTTTGAAATAGAATTACACGTTTATTAGTGTCTTGTCCGTAACGTTTGATAAGCTGTAGTTTGAGCATGCGCATAAATTAGAAACAGACTTCATGGCTGTTTCATTCAAATCCATATATTCAACTCTAAGTCGTACTTAGATAAAGAAATTTCTGGTGATTGACTGAAAACCAAACTACCTAGTTCGAAACTAGTTTTAAATATCGTATACTGTTTGATTATTTGTAAAATTTAACAACGCTAAACCGGGTAGATTAGTTTTATTTTACTATAAATATGATCGCAGAATATTACAAGTCCTCGTTAGGAGAGAAATCTATCGTCTTGGAGTCGCTTCTATAAAAAAAAAATAATCCAAACTTTTCAATTGCAGAACATATTGTCAAATTCGGTCTTTAGATTTTCAGTCAAGAAGCGTCACTTTCGACCAATAATTGACTCTACAGAAAATGAAATTGCTCGTTGTTTTGAGTTGTTTTCTTTTTCTCTGGACAACTCTTGTCTATTTAGCAAGCTCTCTTGCTTCTCCTCGGCTGAAGCATGTTTGGTCCCACCTACTTCTTTGAAGGCTGAGCCTTCTCGATGAATTCCACTGAGGGCTATTCTCGTTATATCTCTCATAACGCTGCCAACATTCGAGAGTTCAGCAGCAACCGGAGAGAGTGCAGGCGAGGAATTAAACTGTGTAGACTGGAAAGGAAGTCTTACTCCAACTACTCCATAGATTTCCGGTTCAGAAAAGCTCCGTACAGGAGCGAGTAACGTGTGTGGCTCGTAAGGAAATGGTACTGATGACTCTAGGAAATTAAGACTGGGATGAGTATGATTCAAAACACTTCTTCTGGAACATTTATGATAGGCTTCGCTGTTGTTATCTACCAGATTGACGGTGGTGGTAAGTAGAGTTGGCACGGGCAGGTGACTCTTGTGTGGGTGATGAAAGGCATGTTTTAGGTAATCAGAAGGTTGAAACCCATACCCCCCTGTCCATGAGGCACATCCTACCACCCCCATGTGCTGGTGTAACTGAGATCTTCGTTCCCTTTCAAACATGACTGCCTCTAGTTCTCGGTCAGCAAAGCATCGTCTTTTGCGCATACGTTCACTTATATAAGGCACCCCATCACGGAGAAGGTCACCAGAAGAGGTAAACGGAAAAAAACGGGATCTGTAGTCTAGGGGGAGGAATGTATTTCTTATAAACAGATTTTCATTAGGTTTAAAATATAGTTCGTTTTTAATTTTTTTTAGATGATGGAATTGAATTAGTAACTTTTTGAATGCAAATAAAAAGTACGATTGCCTTTACGAACTTCACTGTTTTGTTATTTGTACTTGATTTGTAATTACACAAAATAAATAAAACTTTACCTACTTAAACATACATAACACACTTCCAGTTTAAACACACATAAGAAAGTTTTTTCAGATATAAATATATATATGATAAAATTCTTCAAAGTTGAACATACAGCATATCCTATTTAAATATACAGGAAAAAGTTTACCTATCTAAATAATAAGAAATTACGAGTGAAAGTAAAGAATAATGTGTCAAACAACTACATTTCCCATATCCAGTATCGACGAAGCCTTTCCCCCAATACCATGGCTCAACAGGCTGGCTGGTATATAAGAGAAACAGCAATGGTACAAGCACTATTTATCATCAGTTTTCATGAACAATGACTGTTATAAGGTAAACGTACAAGAAAAATAAAAATAACAAATCACTTCCAATTTAAATATACAGGACAAATCACTTCCAATTTAAACATACAGGACAAATCACTTCCCATTTAAACATGAAGGATAAATCACTTCCAATTTGAACATACAGGACAAAGCACTTCCAACTTAAACATACAGGACAAAGCATTTCCCATTTCAACATACCGGACAAAAACATTTCCTAGTGAAACATACAGGACAAAACATTTCCTATTGAAACATACAGGGCAAAGCACTTTCTATTTAAACATACAGGATAAAACATTTCCTAGTGAAACATACAGAACAAAGCACTTCCCATTTCAACATACAGGACAAAACATTTCCTAGTGAATCATACAGGACAAAACATTTCCTATTGAAACATACAGGGCAAAGCACTTTCTATTTAAACATATAGGATAAAACATTTCCTAGTGAATCATACAGGACAAAACATTTCCTAGTGAAACATACAGAACAAAGCACTTCCCATTTCAACATACAGGACAAAACATTTCCTAGTGAATCATACAGGACAAAACATTTCCTAGTGAAACATACAGAACAAAGCACTTCCCATTTCAACATACAGGACAAAACATTTCCTAGTGAATCATACAGGACAAAGCACTTTCTATTTAAACATAAGGGCAAAAACTTCCCATTTAAACATACAGGTTTGTTTGTTTGAGTGCTTGTTTTTAATTATGCACAAAGCTACACAAGGGCTATCTGTGCTCTGTCCACCACGGGTATCGAAACCCGGTTTCTAGCGTTGTAAGTCCGCAGACATACTGGGGGGCAAACATACAGGACAAAACATTTTCCTTTTTTTTTCAGGATTAAAGTCATTCTTTAGGCCAATCGATGCGTTTCTTTTTTCAGGGTTAAAGTCATTCTTTAGGGCAAAAATTTAGTAAAACGATATCAACTGCAGCTAAGAATTTTTTCAAACTTATTTTGCTTTCATCAAGATTAATAATAGTGGTTGAAAACGGATACAGATCTTATGTACCGAATGTTAGTTCTCCATATATAACAATAACCATGCATTATTTCTTAACCGAACACAGAGGGGGATTGACTATCACATTTATAACACCATACACTTGAGAGGGCAGAGCGTTCTCAGTGACATGTTGAGACTCAAGTTATGACCATTTCAACTGTCATCTTGACACACTGCCCATTAGGTCACGCTCAACTCTAGGTGGATTCAAATACACCAAATTGTAAAAGTTTGTGAAATAGAGTTGTTAACACTAGTTAACGAATGAGAAAGGTAAATACACCAAAACAATATGAATTCTTACTTTGAAGAATTTCCCTCGAAATTGAACTCTTCTGTAAATTTCGTAGATGGCGCTGATACATTTTTTTCTGTTCCAGTAAAGCTTCGGCATTCCTCAGCTTCTCGCTGGTATCTTTCCCTTCGGCGGCTTGTTGTCTGCAATGAGAAAAGTTAGTTATCTTCGGAAAGGATATCATTAAACCAAGCTGCCCACTAGAAGTTCGAGAGGGTAATATAATTTTATGAATCTTCATAAGACGCGATCACATGTTTTCTTCGTTATTTTATGATTGCCAAGCTTGTGTTTACATTCCTGGGATTTTCCAAATAATATTACATTAAAGTCAACAAGTCTTAGCACTTGTAACTAACAAACAAGCTTATGTAAAGAACACTTCACTTGATATCCACAAGAAACAGATACTGACGTGAGCACGTGCTGACAGAAATTGATGCATTATCTGTTAGGATTTGTACATTTATCTCTACTAGTCTACCTTACGAAATGTATTTTAGTTCTCACTCAAAATTTAAATTTTTAAAGTTAATTTTCTCTTTTATGGACGTTTAAAATTGTTATTTAGCTTCAATTACGCGATACTTTATTAGACAGATTAGGCTAAAAATCAATGTTATGAAACCAAGCAGTTGTTATAACATTTCTACGATTAGAAGTTTTGTCCTTAAATGTTGAGGCACGAAGCTATACGCCTTTAACAATGAAACATTAATAACAATGAAAAAAAATCATCTTACGCTGAATTCACATGCTAAATCAGCTCCGACCAAATCTTTGTTTAAAATACTCTGAACTATCTATACTATTATTCTGCTTGTTTGTATGTACAACCGTTACGCTTTCTGACCAAGAATCTGCTGCATAAGCATGCGTAGTTAGAAAGTTTTCCCAAGAAAAACCGCGCATGCGCATTATTCACTCGACGACAAAAAGTCTGCCTGCGGCAGAGAGCTGCAAAG